AAAAAAAAAAAAAAAAAGAAATGCTTTCAGCTTTATTTCATCTATTTTCTACTACCACAAATGCACTTTTTATTTCTTGGATACTGTTCTATGTGGTTACCAATACCTTCTTGGACTGAGCTGAGAAATGCTCAATAGACATTTGAATTCAGTTGAATTGCACTTACCTTTCTTGTGGCATCCATTTTGAGGGACCCTTATCCTCCCAGTTATGATGTACGCATCAGACATTCCAGAAGCTCACCAGTCCCATTTGTAACATAAATTCATATGCTGATAGCTGGGGTTAACAGGAGTGTCTCTGACTGTAGAACTAAGAAACTACGATATTAAGTAATGTAACAATATGACCTATAAGTTTAGCCTGAGCATATAAACTGGAGTGAAATGGGTTATTCCTGGAGAAAAGGAAATGAAGAAAGGGAACTGTCATGTTCTTTATCTCTCAATCTCACATCAAGTATGTGAAATTTATTACTTAACTCTCAGAAGTTAAGAAACTTTTAGAAGATCATAAAGCTAGTAAGTGATTGAGGTAATATTTCAACTCAAGGCCTTCCTCCATCTTTCAAAGACTCCATGTTGCCTCCTACTGAAGGACAACAGCATTTTCAGAGATCATTCCCTTACCGACTACTTTGATGGGAATTTAGAATGGTTTTGTTAGCTGCTAGACTATATTGCTTATACAAATTGGAAGCTATTAAACACAGTTAAATTCCAGTAATATGGAGGCTAACTGCCATTGGGAATTTTGTTGTTGTTACTGCCATCAAGTCGATTCCGACTCTTAGCGACCCTGTGTACAGCAGAGCAGATCCCTGCCATGTCTTTTTTGCGCCACCCTCTCATCTTCTGGCGCTGTATCAGACAATGCTCTGCTGCTATTTGTAGGGTTTTCATGGCCAATTTTTTTGGAAGTGTCTGGCCAGTTCCTTCTTTCTAGTCTGCCTTAGTCTGGAAGCTCCACTGAAACCTGTTCATCATGGGTGACTCGGCCAGTATTTGAAAAAGCAGTGGCATAGCTTTCAGCATCACAGTAACACACAGCCGCCACAGTATGACAACCGACAGACGATGGGTAGTGTGGTTCCCTGACCAGGGAACGAACCCCGGCCACGGCGGTGAGAGCACCAAATCCTGACTGATATACCACAAGGGCTGGCTGGGAATTTTTAGTTTTCTATTATTCTTTATTTTCCAAAACAGAAGATACCTAGGAAGGAGTATTTTAGCAGCCTAAAGGAACAAATGCTTTAAAATTCACAAATAGTTTAAACTTTATTAAAGCTCTTTGGTACCATTCTTCCCCATTTCCTAGTTAATCTAGAATTTTCACAAGTTTTAATTTTACTGATGTTGGATGCCAAATATATCAATTTATATGGTTGTTTAAGTTTACTTTCTTATGTATGTAAAATATTAAGGAGCTCACAACTTCAGTGTCCCTGGAGTACAACACTGAATAAGCTCAGACAACAATGAAAGAATTCTCAGAGCCATATCCTACAAGATGAAAGTGTAAGGAAGAGGGAAGAAAAAAGTAAAAGCATTGTTAATTCTTGAAAGAATATGCTGTTTATATGTAGATCCATATTAAAAATATGGATGTTAATGATCACAGTCATTTATGAATTTGAGTTGTCACATTTGATACTCAGTGGACATTAACAGTAGGTGAAAAGAATCATTATGAGATTAGTTACTTCTTCTGACTCTTCAGAATCAGTGGTCAAATGAGTATTGTGACATCATGACAGGAGTCCACGCTCACAATCATCCTAGCAATGGAAGAATCTTCGTCAAGTAGTTCTCTAACAAGTTTGAGGAGAAGGAATTCAACTTCTTATTTTTTCCAGTAGTTCAGATATGGAAGAGCCTGCTTTATGCCTCTTACAACTTTGGGCCTAGTTAGGAAGCCTAACTTGCAGAACCTGAAAGGCTCCATTCTTGAGCCTAGGTACTATATGCTGGAACTTAGAATCAGTTACTCAATTTTGGGCAACTTAAGGACTTTTGTTTTCTAAGAGATAAAAAAAAAAAAAAGTCTAGCCTTCTTGTTCCTCCTCCAGATTGGAATTTAGGAGCCATAATACTAAGGTCTTGATACTGCTTACGTGCCCCAACTAATGCAGAGGAGACTTGGTCACAAAACTAGTTCCTAGCCTGGTCAAAATGCACTTAAACCATTTTCATGTGTTTAGCATTTACTACTGAGAATGAAATAAAATCATTATGTATTCTGTCTATATATTTGTAGAATTCATATACTTTTAAAGTATAAATGATCTATTTTCTTCAAGATAGGTTAAAAATTATAGTGATTTTCATTGTCCTCAATTCAGATGGCTCAAATTTTTAAGTATTATTACATTTTTGTTCTCTTTATGTGAATCTAGTATTTTAAGAATCACTAACTTACTCTTTATTCTGCTGTAGTCTTAAGATTATTGTAGCCTAATATATTAATATCAGTACTTCCCAAACCTTTATATCTGTCAAGTTGAAACATGTTGACTACTTGCATTTTTAGGCAGGAAGTGATTTTATCCCTTATTTTGGTGAGAGAAAGGATTTCCAATTTTGTGGATTACATTTACATTTACCAATAGCACTTTGGTAAAATATCATATTGAGATTGGTTCTGTTTTTCTTTTTCTCCTTGCCTATTTATATGTAGGCCGTCCCTACCATATCTTATTCTTTGCAATACTTCCACTTCAGGTCCTGTTTCCCTCTGATTTGGAAAGAGAGCGAGTCTTGTAATTATAAATTACATTCTAGCTCTGAGGAGCTCAGCTAAGAAATTTTCTCTTCATTGAGTAACTGGATTACTGCAGAATGACTACGGAAGTAATATTACATTATCGACCATATGAGAGTGATCCCACACAACTGCCAAAAATTGCAGAGAAAGCAATTCAAGACTTTCCTACACGTCCACTATCGAGATTTATTCCTTGGTTTCCACATGATGGGTCCAAACTTCCACTCAAACCTAAAAGATCACCACCTGTGGTTTCTGAGGAGGCAGCTGAAGATGTGAAACAGTACTTAACCATTTCAGAACATGATGTTAAATCACAGAGTTATGATTGCACAGTAGATCTATTGGAGTTTCAACCTGATTTGAAAAAAAAGAAGCACTTGATCCGGTCACACACACTGAATGAACTGACTAATTCTGGAAATCTGGATGAACAATCAGAAAAAGGAAAACGGTTCAAGAAGAGGTCTTGGAGTGTTTCACTTCCCTGCAGTAATAGTACTGAAAATATTTTTCCATTGTCCAAAAAATTGCAAGACAGTTTAAAGGCACTAAATTTGCACTCACTTTATAGAGCAAGATGGACAATAGAACACACTATTTGTAACAACCAAACTCTGGAAGACATTTGGACAAAACTCAATCAAATTATCAGGCACAATGAACTTCCATCTTGTAATGCTACAATTCAGAGACATTTAGGCCAAATATGGGTGTTCTGTGATGTTATGTACTGTGAATATGTAGGAAATCTTCTTAAAGGAAGATTAGCTCTTACTGGGAAAATTGATTTATTTGTGCGTAAATATGGCGTTATTTTTAGTATGTAATGAATTCTACTGATTGTCAAAAAGAAGAATATTTTGAATGAACTAAGTATGAACTGCAGTAGTGAAATGAACATTTTTTACCAGTTTTTAAGTTTTTAATGACTTAATTTTTTTTATTTGACCCTTTGCTAATATAGCCAATTTATTCTTAACATTGTGAAAAATAATTGTATGGTAATATGTGTACAGTCTTTATCCCAGAAATAAATAACTACCAGGTGAATTCCTAGGCTTGTCAATTAAGTCAAGAACTTTCTGGATTATACTTCCTTTAAATAAATTGTGGTGGGGCTGGCCCTGAGGCCTGGTGGATAAAGGTTAAGTTCGACACGCTTCGCCTCAGCGGCCCAGGTTCATAAGTTCGGATCCTGGGCTCAAACCTACACCACTTGTCAGCCGTGCTGTGCCGGCACCCCATAGACAAAATGGAGGAGGATTCACACAGGTGTTAGCTCAGGGCCAGTCTTGCTCAAGCAAAAAAAAGAGGAAGATTGGCAACAGATGTTAGCTCAGGGTGACTCTTCCTCAGCAAAACGTAAATAAATAAATAAATTGTGATAAATTATTATTTATACTGAATTTCAAATCTTCCTCAGCAAAAAGTAAATAAGTAAATTGCGATAAATTATTATTTATACTGAATTTCAAGGTAAATGTTCTGTTCCTTTTGTTCTGTTACTTTTCCAGTGGTTGAATTAGGTATTTCTATGAATTACAGTAAATAGTTTGGATTTTGGTGAATCCCTGAAATCTAATTTTATAGTATTTTTTTCTTTATTCGCCTAAAGTGTAATGATTTTTTTTTAAATAAAACTAAAACATTTTGGGAATGCTATTCAAGTGGGCATGAATGTGGTTCATATTGGGAGATCAGCCCAGATTCTGCTGATATGTCCAAAGATATGTAATAAGCAATAGTTGATGTG